TAGCATTGCTTTGATTAAATAAATGAAAATGTATTATACTCAACGTACAACGCTTGCAATTGTGCTTATAGATTATATATACCAACAATGTGCTCCGGTTATATCTCGGCTAATGGAGCAAACATAAACGGACCAAACGATGGAGAGAATGAGGCAAAGAAGTGAAGATTCTTTCATTGAATCTTGACCTCAAAATCGAGGCAATTTGCGGAATTGCTGCAGGGCCGGTGACTCGCCGCTTCTGTGACTTGTCACGATTCAAGGAAAGGTCGCAAATTCGATTCAAGAATCAATATTGTTGTTTATCGCTACGGTTAACGTTGCAGCCTCGAGTGGCTGCGGAGGGCAGGTGAGCGCGTGGCATACAGCAAACACGAATTGCTAAACACCAATTCTTAACACGTGTAAGTAATTGCGCGTATCATGGACGTAGGAATATTAATAGGGTGCCACGGAGGCGAGATGTGAACTACCTCGCCTGGTATACAGCAGGTCGTGGGTTCGATCCCAACCCTGACACACCAATATATTTGGAGTTTGCATGTTCTCTCTCCCAGTGTTTGTGCGGATTTTTCCTCCGGGTCCTCAGGTTTTTCCCTCCACAGTTAAGAGACGTGCGTTTGGAGTATTTGGCTGCGAGAAACTTCCAAATGATGGGCCACTTCGTTGAGCTGTCATTTGTGGGCAGGTCGCTTCTGAAAAAGAGCCGTGTATAGCTCAGCGGGCCTCACCTGTCGAAATAAAAATAGTTTGACTTGAATATATTCACTCGTGCATCTCCACCTACAGCGTGTTGTAAGCCAACGGTCACGTGCCGACGGTCACGTGTCAACGTTTCTCGACGATGGCATGAGACGGAGCGCCATCTGCTGTCTCGGCAAAGGAGGTTCACTACGGAGACGAAGCAGAAGAAATCTCATCCACATCTCAGTTTCTCCACGTAAAAAAAGTTGAAGTATTTTTTTTAAACACATCCCATCAGCCGCATAACCTTCTGAAAGCTCAAAACGTCAGCTGAATTCGTTCAACACAAGCACACTCTTCGCCGGTCTCCACATTCAGTGTCTCATCATGGATCAGGCTTGCTTTGACCAATGCAGTGTGAACTGCAAACTGGCTTCCACATTCAGTGTCTCATCATGGATCAGGCTTGCTTTGACCAATGCAGTGTGAACTGCAAACCGGTTTCAACATTCAGTGTCTCATCATGGATCAGACTTGCTTTGACCAATGCAGTGTGAACTGCAAACCGGTTTCCACATTCAGTGCCCGATCAGCAGTCAGGCTTGCTTGATCTGCTAACGAGTCATCCTGAGCTGTCGTTACCATCCACTGGGGCATCACCATCATGCACCATCTCGCACGCAAAATCTTTGACATCGCAACCCGCTGACTCAAAGACTCGTAACCTTCGACCCAAAATATGTCCTCCTGTATTTCAACTCCAACCCATAACCTTTAACCGACTTCGAACATTCAACGACCCATTTCGCTGTCGATAAAACCCCGATTTCTCAACCCGTCTGGGCGTTTGCACAGGCGACCGCAGGTAAGCCAAGCAGGGACGCGCCATGCAGATCGAGCGGCTCGCATGCGGAGCGGCGCAGCCATGATGGGGTGTAGCGACGGACGTCCCTTACACTGCAAGGGGGCGGGAGAGTGGTGGCACATTGAGAAGGTGGGTGGTGGCGCATCGGGGAGCAGGGTGACGCATTGGGAAGGAGGGTGGTGCATTGGGAAGGGGGCTGGTGGCGCGTTCGGAAGGAGGGTGGTGGGTGCGTTGGGAAGGAGGGTGGCGCATTGAGAAGGAGCGTGGAAGTGCATTGGGGAGGTGGTGGTCGTGATGGAGGTCATGGCATACAGGGACTGGTGTAGAGATGTTGGAGGCAGGCAGGAGGTGATAAATGGAGAGCAGAGCACGGGAGACCAAGAGAAGAGGTGCCAATGACAGCAATCACGATGGCGGGAAATGCTGTCCAACAACTATTTTGAACTTCCGCCCGGTGTCGACTTTACCCTCGAGACGTCACTCTCTCCCCGTTCACCGTCCCTCCGAGTTGCCGACCACAAGCTGGTGTCATTGTGGGTGGGTGCCGGATCAGGCGTTAACGCCCCAGCCCTCCCCGATGCGTTTTATCGGGTCGAACCGCACGTTTCGCTTCGCTCGCTGGAGGGACGCTGTCCTTCAGGAAACCGAATTGAGTTCCCGTACCGTGGTGGCGCACAAACGTACGCACTGGTCGATAACTCCCGTCGCACCCGTGCTCCACTGCCGGAGTGTGCCCGGTTTTTACGAAACGCTGAAAAATAAGTTGATTGTGAAGCAGGTCGTGGTCAAACTAAATCAATCAATTTGCTCTTCTTGGTTCTTTCGGTAAAGTCGCGTAGAAGGGAAATAATAAAATAATACGTGACTTTACCGAAAGAACCAAGAAAATGAATCCCTGCAGTCACGAAAGCTTTAAATCGAAATCAATTTGCTGTTTGTCTTCTGAACTACAAAAAGAATCAAATATTTCCGCTCGCATCAGTGAATTAAATTTGAAGTTTAAAATAGACATAAATGCTCAATCTACCCAACTCGAGTTATGGTTTTGTTCCGTTTATTGATTATTATATTGTCCGTACTTGCTGTGTGTGTGTGTGTTTACACGCTTGCAGAGGTTGGTGCGCTGTGCCACGAACCCGACGACCCGAGCTTGAATCGCGCTCACGGCCAGCACCAGTGACGAGTGTATCTGAACCGGCGCTGGCACCTCCTCCTCCCCTTAGGTCGACTCGGCCTCAAACGAGTAACTGGCGCAGCGTGTGAACACTTATCGCCAGCATTGGGGAACATTAACGGGATGATACTTTCCAGCCGTGCAGCTTACAACGCGAATCTGACCCCCCGCGACACTTGCCTTACAACCTCTCCACAATCATTCGGTGTTGCAGTGGAAATAGAAACAGGGTGGTCTCCGGTTTACGACAATCCACATTCATGACGTTTATATAACGCCACCGCGGACCGATTTACGACGCAAAAAATAGATTTACGACGCATTCTCCGAACATACTTGAAACAGAGTCGGTCCCGTTTCCGATGCGACTTGGCGAGAAGCGTTTGTTATTCTCGGGTTTTTTTTGTGGATTTTTTTCTTGTTAGCCGTTTGAAAACCGTGTTAAATGTGGCCGATAAAAAGGGAAAAAAAAACACATCGGCGTTTCTACTGCTCCCTCCGACTGTCCATGGGAAAATAGGATCCGATTTAGGATGGGGTTTCCAGGAGCGCGTTGTGACGTCGTAATAGCGCGGACCGCCTGCAGGTACTTTTAAAATTGCAGTTGCCGGGTGCAGGCCCAAAGGCCCAAGACGTAAAGTGGACAGCAACAATCAGCACTCTTAAAACAAGGTGTCGTAGATAAGAGTAGACACGCTTCTTGAAGTGAGCAAGGTTACATGGACATTGGAAAAGACAAGATGGAAGGGAGTTTCAAAGTGTTTCGCTAAGATAGGGCAAGCAGCTCTGTTAGTTCGGGCCCCGATATTATCCGCGGTTCTCTGCTCTTGCCCATAAGACCTGGGGGGTCGGGGGGGGGGGGATTCGCCTTTTTGAGGACGCACCCTGCTGAGAAGGCTCTAGAAGTCAAAACCAATCCGAGGCATCTGCCCAAAACAATAGGGCACCCAAGTGGAGCGAGTTCTAGGGGCCACGCCTTGCTGACAGCGAGCAAACTTGGCGAAGATGAAGCCAGCCAAAGCCTCTCTCTCTCTCCTTTAATTTAAACACATTCCTGCGGAGGGAGCTGATAGGAACGTTGGGTTGCTCGGTCAATGGCCAGGGTCAACGGCGGCGTGGTGTATTCCGCAAATATGGCCGACTGTAAAGGCGGGCACAAGCAGGCGTGAGTAGGTTAAACGGCGAGTTTTATAAGGGCACCACGGGGTGACCAGCCCCTCCCCACCCAGCCCCACCCCTCCCCTCCCACCCCCCACCCAGCCCCACCCCTCCCACCCCCCACCCAGCCCCACCCCTCCCACCCCCCCTCCCACCCCCCACCCAGCCCTTCCCCACCCTCCCCTCCCCACCCAGCCCCTCCCCACCCTCCCCACCCAGCCCCTCCCTGCACGACGGACGGACGAACACAATAATCCCCTGTGGGCTGGTGTAACCAGGAGGCTCCTATCAGTAACAGAGGCCAAAGCTTGGAGAAACATGGAGGTTCCATAATGGGAACAATCAAAGTCCGCTGTACAGGAACCTACTTGATGTACTGCTACCTACAGGCTCCACAAAGCTACACTGAAAGGTCATTAATTAGCATGCACCATCGTTTCTCGTCGGGGCTACGATTCAAATTCAAGAATCAGATTTGTTTGCACTTTCACCGTCTCATTACCACCGTTTATGAGTTTCCTTTCATCTCCCGTGTACACAGGTTAGTTAAACCAATAAGCGCCCAAGTGTACCATAAGAATAGAATTCGCCTTTAATGTGTATGAATTTTAGTCGACCGATTGTGCAGGTACGCGATTCAACAGTATGGATGGATCGCAAGCGCAAGAATCAATTTTAAACCGACGGATCGACGCGCCGTTAACATGCCCAGGCAGTCGCCCGCACACGACGCCTCCATCTTTACACGATCCACCAACCCCCTCCCCCTCGAAGGTGTGTATTACTAACACCGGAAAACAAATTCAGTAAAACTCCCGCACCACCTCTCCATCCTCACCTCGCTCACTACCCCACACACACACATACACAACGACCCCACCACCCCCCTACCTCTGTCGGCCAAACCGGGAAGGAGGGGGGGCCATGCATACCCTGGGAGTTAGGATTCTGGGTAGGGACGGGATGACCTGTATGCCGCAGAGAGACGAGGGCACGGGGAAGGAAGCGATGGCCAGAGGGCAGAAGCTGGAGAGCGAACGGGCGGGAGGGCAGTCGGGCGAGCGAGCAAGACACAAAGCGAGCGGAGCAGCAATGGAAATGGAAAATGCCTTTTTCTACCTTCGATGATGAAAGCCCTGCATGAGAATGGGGCTCCTGGCAACACATACAGGACACAACGGGGGAAAGGGGGGTGGGGGGGTGAGGAGTAAAGGAGCCGGAAAGCGACAGGCGTGAGAGCTCGTCCCGTGGCGAGGAGAGGCAGGCAAACGAGGCGGCGCTGCCCGAACGTGTAACCGCTTCACGTACTAACAAAATGTTGATTTAAAGCTTTCGTGACTGCAGGGATTCATATTCTTGGTTCTTTCGGTAAAGTCACGTAGAAGGGAAATAATAAAATAATAAAAATAAAAAACAATACAATTCTCACGACGTTTCGACTGCAACACAAGCAATCATCATCAGGTGTGAAATGTTCTTGCTGTGGATTTCTCACCTGATGATGATTGCTTGCGTTGCAGTCGAAACGTCGTGAGAATTTTATTATTTTATATTTTTATCATTGTATTATTTCCCTTCGACGCGACTTTACCGAAAGAACCAGGGATACTGACGTAATGTTCAAAAACTTGGCGGCTTTTACTTCATTTTTTACTTCTTACACATGTCCGCTTGTACGGTAGACTCTCGATGAAACCTCTCCTCGGTCAACCGCAAAGCGACCGCGGTTGTTTGTGGGTGTACGGGAGGAACAAACGGAATTTGGAGACCGATGTCTGAACCTGTCACTTAACCCATTGCACCGCACCCATCATCCCCCGCCTGTCACCACCACCCTCCTCAGCTCATTCTAACGCAGGCATCCTCCTCACTCACGTGTGTCTAGCCATCCTATTTGCTCGCTCAGATCCACCCCCACCACTTCACTTGGCTCTGCCCACGCCTTCCCACCCCCACCTCGAATCTGAACCAATTATTTGGTGATTACGCAGCTGCTGTGTCGTTGGTGGCGGTGCACAAGCACAATTGACAAATAACTCGACACATTGCTCAATAACACTAGATGGCCTTAAAAGGGAAAATATATATGTAATAGGCGACGTTTCCGGCAAATGGTTCTTCTCTACCGAATTCGATATTTATGTCGCCTATAGTTAAAACTTGTTTTCCCCTCTTGACTTGAAGCTTTCGTGACTGCAGCAATCCATACTCTTTGGTCAAATAGATATGGATTCCTGTTGTCACGACAGCTTCAAATCAAGATTGGACACAGTGTTGTTGACATAATGTGTTGAGTTCGTTGTTCCAACTCCGTGCTCTCCTCCACGCACAAAACCCCCAAGGGCCTCCCCCGCTCGCTGGTGTCTGCGGAGTGTGTGGGGGGGCTACCTCCCTTCCCCCACCCCACCCCCGCGTCGGTCGGCTCGTGTCCGCCTCCACTCACTCCCTGCAACCGGCTTCGTCTGTTCGCGCGGGACGCGTGGAACGGCCGCGCATCGACTACGTGTGCGTAAGTTGAACTCCTTTCGCGCGGTACGTTACCGACCGTGCTAATCGGAGGTTAGCACGGTAGATTCACGTGCTCGCAACGCACGCCTTGAGGTCGTGCGCGAGATCGAATCCACACTCGTACGCGCCGTGCGTCGCAGTCGGCACTCGACGCCCCGCAAATATGTCCGACGCTTGAAGCGAATCGTCGTGACCCACGCCCCCGTGAAGTGGGATGATTCGTCAAGTAGATGATGGGGATGAACCGTGACAAGACTGCCCTGGCTAACCTCTCACTCCACCGGCTCGGGTACCTTCCCGGCCACCCCGTCCCATCACCACACCCACGTACCGCTCCCTCCTCCTTCCCATCCGCCACAACCGATCATATACGCACGTGCATGTGTGGGTGTGCATTTTAGTCTTTGATTAATCGTGGAAACTTCTCACTTACCCAAAGCCCCCTCTCCTCCCCCCACAATCCCCCCCCCCCCCCACTGAGAGTCTGCTGCTGTTATCGTCCTATCGACATTGTCGGGGTTCTTGGCACCTATTTTTTCCTTAAATTCGCGCTGCCTCCCCACCCCCTCTCCCTCTCTATCGCCAACGCCGCCTGCTGCAAGCGTGGGGGTTGGGGTACCGTGAGCGAGGAGCTGCGTGCGTGCGTCGCCGCCCGTACCTTCCATGGGAGTGTTGGTATCGGGGCGGTTTGCGAAGACCACGTCCACGTAGTCCAGCTGCAGCCTCTGCAGCGACGTCTTCAGCCCTGGGCGCAGGAAGGTGGAGTGGGGAGGGGGGGGTAGGGGTGAGCTTTTTTAGAAGTAACCAATCGGGCGGTGGGCAGCGCGTTCGCCGTTCGTTGCCGCGGTTCGCGGTTGGAAGCGACCAGGCCACCCTGGTTAATACTGCCGCGTGTATTTACCAAGCAACACGTGCCCGTCCGCTGCGCGGTGGACGTTACAGACCCCCTGACGTCGTTTGGAACGAGTAGGTTATCGCACGTACCCGCGTCACGGTGCAAGTATGTTCAATGTCTTTCGCACCGTACGTATCAAACCGCGCGAATCGATTTGAAACATCACACCGCATGTCACTCGATTTGGATTACACACCGCAACACCCCCCCCCCCCCCTTACCGCGAGGGTTACTGCAGACCGTCTGCAAAAGGTTGCACAATCGCGATAGCCCTTGGCGCTATGAGTATGGTGTGCATACCAAATATCCTAAACGATAGGATTATTCACATCAAGTGCCCTCCAGAGAGAGTGTGGAAATAGCGGGCGGTGAGTCTCACGTTGCTTGCATGCACGGCGCTGTACGCACACCGGCACAAGTGCATGAACAATAGAAACGAGCAACACGATAGAACTTTTGGTAACGACTTTAAAAAGTATCAGCACCGTTACAGACGATATGCCTGCAAGCGCCGCGTTGCCACAATTAGGCTAAGGATTGTATTGGAAACGCCAAACCAAAACATATTTGCAATGTGCCAAACACATGAATGAGTTGTTATATTCGTAATACTTTGATCAATAGCTACGGCCTATTTAACTGGTCATCAGAAAACAAGTGCAACCTCCACCTTTCAACATCCACGCTGTCTCTCTACTGGCCTCACTATTATTATGCGGTGAAGAAAGACATTTTTTATGTGACTGTTATTGACGAATGTGTTGAGATTTCTGTGAAATCAGTTTAATTATTGGGAAGAACTAAGACTAAACTAAAACTTGTTTTATTTTACCAGGTGAATCCTACAAAGCTATTAGCTCTTTTCAGAGGCGACTGGCCACAAATAATAACTCAACGAAGTGGCTTATCAGGTGGAAATTTATAGCAGCCAAATAATCTAAGCGCATGTTTCGAAATGTGGGGAGAAAAACCTAGAGGACCCGGAGAAAAATCCACGCGACCACAGGGAGAGAGACACCGCAACTCAAAATATACAGCAGCAGGCGTCAGGGACGGGATCAAACCCACGACCTCCTGTATACCAGGCGAGGTAGTTAACATCTCCTAGCCACCGTGATGATGATGAGAGAGAGAGACAGGCAAACTCCAAATATACAGCAGCAGGCATCGTCAGGCTTGGGATCGAACCCACGACCCTCTTGTATACCAGGTGAGGGAGTCAACATCTCCGAGCCACCGTGATGATGATGAGAGAGAGACACAAACTCCAAATAAACAGCAGCAGGCATCGTCAGGCTCGGGATCAAACCCACGACCTCCTGTATGCCAGGCGAGGTAGTCAACATCTCCTAGCCACCGAGGTGCCCCTTATCCAGCTGCCACGGCTGCCTTGTTGGCTACCTTCGATGATGTGCTTCCTCGACAGCCCTCGTTCCGTCTCGGCTCTGTGTTGTACAAAAGAGAGACGGTGTCAGCGTTTACTCTTTCACTCGGGCACAACCCGAAAGAGATGCAAACATTACACAGACAAAAATCCCCCCGTATAGCCTTCGCAGACTGTTGTGGCAAATGCTGTTAGCGCGCACCTATGAAGGCTCGAACGGCCCACGAGGGGGAGGGTGGCCAGCACAACAGAGGGTGTGCGGAGGGGTGAGGGTAGGGGAGGGACAATAGCGATGATAGCCGTAGCGGGGAATTTTACTTAGCTCGCTGGGTTCATAGCAGAGTACACAAACCAATGCACCACTATTCCGCACGCGCGCGCATATTTGAACAATTATGCTTGCGCGCACACTCAAGCACAGGAACCCACACATAAAACACCTTCCGTCGTTCCGTGCGGAAGCACACACAATACACATGTCCTGTACATGTGCGCGTGAACAGACAATCCACTGCTGGATGAGGGTTTCTCTGCCGTACGAGTTTTTGGGGATATTTTGCGATACTTATCCACGCCGGTCAGTGTGGGCTTGGTGAAGGCGGGGGGAGCAATATATGTGGGAGCAAAGAAATATAGTACGACAATCAAGGTTTCTTTGCTGCCCTCCGCTGCACGCCATCGCCCCCCTTCATTGCAACATCAACGTTTACAACGGAGACTGAACGCCGGGGTGTGCGAGAAACTGGCATGGCTCACTCACTTTCCTCCCCAGTAGATTTTCGTTGTGATGACGAGGCTGGACCTCCTGGGGAGAGAACAAAGCGACGGGGAGACAGTTTCAGCAATGTGGGGGGAGAATGGGGGGGGGGAGAGCAGAGAGAGAGAGACGGTTTTTAAGTGTGAAGTTTATTTTGTTTAACAGGGCGAGAACTCGAGAGAGACCATTGCCGTTGCTCGCCAAGTTGCCGTGGTCGCTCGCGGCCAATGCGTTGCCGGCGACGGTTGCCGGCAACGGTTGCCGGCGACGATTACCCTAAAATGTCCCGAGCGGATCGTGGCCTTTGCCCCCTCTCCCTGCGCTCAAACCCCCGACTGGAAGGACCGGACGTGGGCCTGTCTCAACTCCCCGAGTCACCCGCGCAGCAACCGCCTCAATGTTTGACCAACAAACTGCGGCTTTACGCTCCTCCTGGGAGTTTGAGGTCCTCGCGCGCCGCGACCTGCGCTCCCTCTGTCGTGCCGCGATTTCGGAAAAAAGTTTCGGAGCTTGGGGCTTTTCCCCGCTCATTTTGACAATCAGATTTGCAACGTTCTTGTGCCTGAAGAACTGCTGTGCCTGACCGCCGAGATTCTCACCAAGTAGAAAGAAACAAAAAATCCTACTTAGTTCCCACGATATGTTTTCGCACCTCCCATTAGCACGGTTGGCTACGTACGGAGCGAAAAGAAGTTCAACACACGTGCATACAACTCGAGATCATTTGTTTTATTTTCTCTCTCTGTACGGCCGCTCTGAAGCTCTTTGACAGAGACTTGCGGGCACGCCGACACACGATGGAGGAGCGCGAGCACGTCACGTGGGGCACCACCAGGGGGCGCCACGCTACCGCGCCACGCGGCGGCGAGCGTGGCGCAGTGACGGCGCGAGCCGGCTTCAACGATGGCGTGCCGATTTACCGACGGTTCTTCCGTATGTATGCACGTTGAACTTCTTTCGCACCGTACGTAGCCAGCCGCGCTCATCCCAGGAGCTCGATGAGGTTTAAATTTTTTCCGTGCGGTTATTTGGTGACTGGCCAAATGTTAAATTTAGCACATTTAATTGACGGATATTTAATTGACGAACGAACTCTAACGTCTTCTTGGTTCTTTCGGTAAAGTCACGTAGAAGGGAAATAATAAAATAAAAACATATAAAATACAATTAATTAATAAAATGTATTATGTTTATTTTTATTATTTTATTATTTCCCTTCTACGTGACTTTACCGAAAGAATCAAGAAGATGAATCCCTGCAGTCACGAAAGCTTTAAATCGAAATTGAATTCTAACGTGCTGGGGTTATTTTATTGCATGTGCAGTTATTGGTGACCGAACCGGTACCATCGACTCGCCACACAGAACCCGGTTTAGTCACAGGCGACCGAGACCCCGATTCAAACCCAGGATCTCAGCAGCGCTGCCTGGGTGATCAACGACTTGTAAATGGGGATTGCCGTCAGCCCCGACGACTACATTTTTCATTTTGCCAGGTAAGGCCCATTGAGCTGTCAGCTCGTTTTAAAAAAACGACCTGGCTACAAATGGCAGCTCAACAAAGTGGCTTAGCATCGCGTGGACATCTATAGCAGCCAAATACTCTCAACGCGTGCCGATTCTCAACGTGGAGCAGAGGTCGCAATCGGGTACCCGATACCCGTACCCTACCCGATACCCGGCTACCCGTTTGCGACCCTGGTGCGGCCGGGTACGGGTACGAGTAGGCCATGAGTCACTGGTGAGTAACCGTTTGTCACTCATTTCCCAACGTCTTGTCTCTTCTCACAATTCAAGTTCCTAGAATCAACCCACCCGCGCCTGCAACATGGCTTTATCCCAGAGGTCGCAATTGGGTTACCCGATACCCGTACCCTACCCGATACCCGGCTACCCGTACCCGGCTGGGTACGGGTACCCGTTTGCGACCCTGGTGCGGCCGGGTACGGGTAAGGAATCAAAACCCGTTTGCGACCTCTGACGTGGAGGGTAAAAACCGGAGGACCAGGAGAAAAATCCATGTGACCACTGGGAGAGAGAGACAGACAATGCAAATACACAGGCCAGCAGCAAGCAGTGATGGACGGACGATAGGATCCGACGATTACCTCCAGCCTTTCTTCTTGATGATGTTGCCCAAGATAACCTCGGCCCTATTGCGGGCGGGAGAGGAGAGATCACAGCGGAACAAAGGACAATCGTGTCAGCAGTAGCGACAGCAGACAGGCAGATCGGCAAGGCGGGCAAAACACACAAAGTCGTCCTAACGGGTAAAGGTGCAGCCCACCAATTGCTTGCCACGACGTCGCCGCTGGCGGAAGAGCCTCGACTACTTAGCCCTCTCGAGACGGTGCTTGGCCTACTCTTCCACGCTGGCTCAGGGAGGCATCTTTGACGAGATGGGAGTATCCACACTTTACGCCACCGCACACGACCTGCCGACTGGACTGCAGTTGCGCCTATTTATGCCGCTGGGGGATTTAAGAAATGTTGCACCTTCTTGGTTCTTTTGGTAAAGTCACGTAGAATGGAAATAATAAAATAAGAAAATAAATCATAATAAAATAATTCTCACGACGTTTCGGCCACAACGCAAGCAGCCGTCCTCAGGTGAAGACCAGGTCTGTCGGGGAGACAGCATCTGAATGAATGTTTCATTCAGAACCAAGAAGGTCTGTCGGGGAGACCTGTTCTTCACCTGAGGACGGCTGCTTGCGTTGTGGCCGAAACGTCGTGAGAATTATTTTATTATGTTATATTTATTTTATTTTATTATTTCCCTTCTACGTGACTTTACCGAAAGAACCAAGAAGATTAATCCCTGCAGTCACGAAAGCTTTAAATCGATATGTTGCACCGTTGCTTTACCCGCCCCGCCGGCAGAGGACGCTGCCGCGGTGTAACGGTGAGGGCCACTGGATTCCTACATGTCGCCGGCTTCCATCTCCACTTCACCCGGCATACTTCATCACTCCATCTCCTCGGTGGACGTTCACTCACTCCGTCGCTGTTCTCGACCATCGTCCCCTTCCCTTCTGGCAGAGACACGTGCTGCCCAAGCCCCACTTCACTGATTTCATCAACAGTTGGAATTGTCTTCTTGGTTCTTTCGGTAAAGTCACGTAGAAGGGAAATAATAAAATAATAAAAATAAAACATAATAAAATAATTCTCACGACGTTTCGGCCACAACGCAAGCAGCCGTCTTCAGGTGAAGACCAGGTCTGTCGGGGAGACAGCGTCTGAATGAATCATTCTTGCGTTGTGGCCGAAACGTCGTGAGAATTATTTTATTATGTTTTATTTTTATTATTTTATCATTTCCCTTCTACGTGACTTTACCGAAAGAACCAAGAAGATGAATCCCTGCAGTCACGAAAGCTTCAAATCGAAGTATGAATTGTCTTGGACCTGCACAACGTTCTCCTAAGCCAGCCACCACGTGTTGCTTCTCTTTTGTGTTCTGCCTAACTCCAGATGACGAGCCTGCGATGAGAACACACCTCAACTTCACGCGGTGCGAGACCCATGGCCGAAGACAGCCGTGTGAAAGCACGTTAAACAGTTTTTTTATTTCAATAGATTTTTTTAAACCTGAGAAGGCCTACTCTACGGGGAAATGCTGCCGAGCACTGCAATGCTACGCTACGGGCGGCCATGCGCTATCGAGGCGCGCACGACGGCGATGTCGCCATCACGGCATTTGGCGCCTGCGATGCTCCGATAGGGGAGAGATGGCGGCCCCGTTTGTCGCCGCTAATGGGACTGCCACGACGACTCAAAGCAGCGTGACTCTACCTGCCTAGAGAAAGAGCAGCCAAACGCAAGCCTCGAGTAAAAAAGGCAAACAATCGCTGCCAAAACACACGGCAATCAATTGCAGTTTTGATTTGAGTTCACAAACCGACCGCGTCTGGGGACGCCGTACAAACAGGGCCCCCCCCCCCCCCCCGGTGGTTCCAGATCCCCTGGGATTGGAGGGGCGGCAGTCGAGCGGTTGTGTGTGGGCGGAGGGAGGGGGGGGGGCACCGTGACAGCGACTGGCCGTTACGGAGAGTGAACTTTGGTGGTGGGGGGCGCGAAGGGAAAATTTGGGGATGCATGGCACAACCCCAACAGCCTTCTAGCGTTGGGCCCTGTGTACCATCGGGCGGTGGGGGGCAATCCGCACATCTGGAGAGTTTGGAGGATTCCCTTTGGGGCAGAGGTCGCAACCGGGTACCCGATACCCGTACCCTACCCGATACCCGGCTACCCGTACCCGGCCGGGTACGGGTACCCGTTTGCGACCCTGGTGCGGCCGGGTACGGGTAGGCCGTGAGTCACTGGTGAGTAACCGTTTGTCACTCATTTCCCAACGTCTTGTCTCTTCTCACAATTCAAGTTCCTTGAATCAACCCACCCGCGCCTGCAACATGGCTTCATCCCAGAGGTCGCAATCAGGTACCCGATACCCATACCCTACCCGTATCCAGCCGGGTACGGGTAGGGTACGGGTACGGCCGGGTACGGGTACCCGTTTGCGACCCTGGTGCGGCCGGGTACGGGTACGGGTAAGGAATCAAAACCCGTTTGCGACCTCTGCTTTGGGGCAGGGAACGAGAGGTAGAATTGGCACGGGGGCAGGGAAGGGAGTCGAGATGACCGCGAGGGAGAGGAGAAACCCCGCAAGGGACAGAATCCGTCGTGAGCAGCAGAGGGAGGGAACCAGAAATCAATCGCCGACGACAGATTTAGCGGCAGGGATTTTTTATTTTCTCTCCAACCGCTGACCTAGCATGTGCGGCTGCCCTACTTTTAATTTACATGCCATCTCAGGACGTGCTTCGGATTTGAAATCGCAAGGGTCGGTGTTGTTGTGGCCGAGGGGGTTTGGATTTTTTTTCGTGGACCGTGAAGCTCACGGGAAATTAACGAGTTGCTTCCCCCATTCCCGTCAATAGGACACCTATTAATCCACTGCTGGATGGAGGCCTACGCCCCCCAGCCGCGTCGTTCACGGGAACTGTTTGACCATATTTTATCGCGCTGTTCCAAACTAAAACTCAACTTTTTTTTTATTTTACGAGGTAAGTCCAAATCTTTTTCACAAGCGACCCGGCCACAAATAATAGCTCAACGAAGTGGCTTATCACGTGGAAATTGACAGCAGCCAAGTACTCGAAACGCGTGATGCCGAGACTAAATGTTGAGGGAAAAACCGGAGGACCCGGAGAAAAATCTACACGACCACGGAGAACGAGAGAGACATGCAAACCCCAAATATCCAGCAGGCATCGTCCTGGTTGAGATCGAACCCACGACTTCCTGTATACCAGGCGAGGTAGTTAACATCTCGCCACCGTGGCCAATAAGGCTGGAGGAGAGGGGTGGGGGTGGGACAGGCCCAGGTACGGTTCGGATGTCACTCGCCACTGGTGTTAGCCGTGTCCAGCAATCAGACTCGGGTAAAGCAGGTTTCATATCGCAGTACCAACCACTCTGCCACCGTTGCCCATCAAAACTAATCACAGGCCAGAAAACAAAGGTTGCGGGATTTTAAAGTCTGCTTAGGGACATCCCTAGAATGAACGAACACCCCCTTTAGAAAATACCGAAACGAACATTTATATGCTGCGGAATGTTTTCAGTCTTATTTAAAACTCAAAAAACGTTTCCACCGTGCCAAATGTTTGCGCTCTATTTGCTCTCCCATGATCCCTTGAGGCTAATTCCATGCTCTCGTGTATCGCTTGACATTTCCACATGGCCTCCACGCCCACATTGCTCTCTCCCGCTTTGTGTTGATGCAAATTCTGGAGGGGATGCGAGCTCATTACCAACTCAACTCCGATTTACATCAAGCGCGCTGTTGCTTCCCCCATTCCCGTCACGCCCCACACTCCAATTTTTTGTTCGTGGCAAATTTAAACGCACAGCTGACCTATTAAGTATGTATGGCGAAACCTATTTCGCACCGCACGTAGCCAAGCGTGCTAATTATACACATCGCGCCGGCGCCGTCATTACGACCCATGATCTATCCCACTGCTGGACGTAGGCCTCCTTCGCCCTGAGCCGCGGCGGCCGTCGTCATCGTCTGTCGGCCGGTCCACCCGCGTTGCAGCGTCGTGGCTCACGGGGCCCATCTCGAGGCTCCATCTCCGCGGCGGACGTACTCTCCTCCAGCCAAAGCGAGGATTTAAAACACTCCCGTCAGGCGGTCGGGAACGACGCGGGGGCAAAATGAATTCCCGCCACGGTCCTCGTTCTGTCTCCAGTCGGTTTCACCGCTTCGCTCGGCCTCGATCCTTTCTCCTCTACATTATTCACGGCTGCGCCCATCCCACTCCTGTTTCCGTCCAACTTTCGTGTCGTCGCATCTCGAGGTATGAAATCCCATCCCGGGTTCTTTCTCGTCGAGGCTTCAAGGACTTTGTACGAATCGAATGTCGCTCCGAAATTAAAAGACTCCTCCCCCCTCCCCCCCACTAGCCCCCGCAGAAAAAAAACAACACCGCGAAGTAAATAAACCATCTTCCATCTCAATTACGTCCGAGGTGAAGGGGGGTTAAGCGTAAGCAGCGGCGTTGACTTCTCCGAGCGCTTCTCGCTTACCGACGCCTGCCCTTTCCCTGCCGCGATCCCATAAATATTGTCCCGCTCCGCGCTCCCGTTGGCGGCGAGCCAGGGAGGGGGTGAGGAGGGAGGCAGCGAGAGAGAGAACAAGGTGGGGGGGGCGACGAGGCGGTCATTACCGCCCGAGATTAACCCGCCGCGAAAAACAAGCGAGTCATTTGGTCGCCGAAATATCACGGCGCGCGCGCGCACGCACACACGCACACACACACGCACGCGCACACACACACACACACGCACGCGCACGCACGCGCGCAACAAAAGCGAGAGCGGCACTCGACTTATTTTCCGGGGACATCATTAAAAATGTATATGGCTCCGTGTTTAAATGTAATTACTTAATTCCGTTTTGCCGCCGGTACCCCTCCCGCCGCCCTCCTCCCCCCCCCCATCACATCGTTACACCAAATGCCAAATTCAAACCGCGATTTAAAAGATGCGATCGCCGCTGCTGATGAGTTATTTTAAGCGCTCGGAGAAACGCGGGCTAGGTTTGTAAGCAATTTAATTTTAATAACGAGGCGAGGATTTTATTTCTTGTGACCCGACAGCCGATCTGACAAATGTTAATTCGCCGAACTGGAATTTAGTCACGTAAAGTGCAGAACCAAGCCCAATGTGACGCTGACCCGGCGTAGACCTTCGAAACCCGGCTTTGAACCCAAACACTCGGTGGTGCTGCTGGCTCAACGCTCCCAACTCCGTGCCACATCGGCCACATCTGTCGTCGTTTAAACTTGGCCACCAGAGGAAGCTGGTGAAAGCGAGAGAGCGTGAGCTTCTCTGGCGTGGCATTTGGCCTACTCTTCCCCGCTGGCCAAAACGGGAACAGATACAGATATTTTGCTGTGACAGTTTCACCTGAAGACGGAAGCTTGTGTTGCCTCCGAAACGTCGTAATTTTATTGTTTTTTATTTATTTCATTTTTTACCTACGTGACTTTACCGAAAGAACTAAGAGTATGAAGAATTTAGAATTTCGTGAAACGACGCGCCGTTAACGTCACGCCGTTAACGTCACGCGGTTCAACCGCCGCCGCTGCTGATGAGGTTACCGACCTGCCGGCACGAAGGGAAATCTCTCTTGGATTTGTTTACGCACGCACGGCGTCGCCGGGTTCCGCACCGTGTTGAGGGACAAACGATAAATCAGTGGCCCAGAGTTACCCGCGAGAGAGAGAGGCAGGGCCAACGGCGGCGCAATCCGATGATGCCTCCACCGACCCCCCCTCACGTCGCCATCACCATTTCCTTTCCCCCAACCCCTATTCCAGTGTCCGTGCTCATTGGCTTCACGTGACGAGCCCAAGCGAGAACGTGTCTATGTACGTTGAATGTAACCCTCTTCAGGAAATGAAAACGGTTGTCGCAACGTTATTGGGCAATAGACCAGGTTCGATCTTTTTTTTTACAGACCTTCAAGAAGCAGGCTGTTTTTTATGGGGATGTCGTGAAGTAACAAAGACGTCATCGGACATACAACCGAGTTGGACGTGTGTATGTTGTACTTTTTTCACACCGTGTGTAGCCAGCTGCGCTAATCGGAGGAGCTCGATTGAGGTTTTTTTTTTCCGCGCGACTGGCCAAAGGAGTTCATCTTCTTGGTTCTTTTGGTAAAGTCACGTGACTTTACCGAAAGAACCAAGAAGATGAATCCCTGCAGTCACGAAAGCTTTAAATCGAAATTTGGCCAAAGGAGTGTTCGTTGCGCTTAAGTTAAACTTCAAACGTTAAAATTAGCAGCACATTCAATTGACGAACGAACTAATCCGTGGTGCGGGAGTGTCCGTTCGGAATTTTTTTTTCACAGAGCAATGGAAAACCCTTCGTGTTTAAAGAATGGCCTGTGTGGAAGCGGACACCAGGGAGTTACCGCTGAGATGTCCCCCACCGCCCCCAACACCCGGTCAAGGGACCTCTGTTCTATACAGTAGGAGGGACCCAACAGTCAGTTAAGGCTATATGGGGGATCTTTGTCTTTGTACGCGTGTGCGCGGACTCACGGGTGCGACGAGTATATCAGCGAGGATTTAAACTGCAAACAAATTTCACCCGGGGGACGTGGATTTTAAGCGACGAACGGAGCGTAGCCGAGATGTCAGAAGGCATGAGCGTAACTTGACTCGTGCGGCATTAGCCAGGGAAATTCAAACGCAGCAGCGAATGCAGCAACAATAACACGCAACAGCCATACCAACAAAAACCTACGTCAGCAGCAAATGTGGCTGTTTTCCCCATCTCTGAAGATACGTTTGGCTAGGATCCGATGCGACAGCCCATTTTACACAGCCCCCTCGGCTTAACCGTCACATCTATCTATATATATAAGTCAAAATCTGTCTCCTGAGAGGGACCGGGGTCGCTGCGTTCTACAAGGCTGAAGCTCCACGTCCACCAGCTGAAGCCCTTCATCTCAAGCTGGAAGCTCAAAGTCTTCGAGGCAAACACGTGGTCGCGGACCCGAGTAGGGACCCGACCCTTCGTAGCAGTAACTCCTCTGTATAGAGTAGTTATCTGGGTTGTCACCACCCTAGGCTGTATCTGGTGAAGGGGCAGTTACCCCTTGTGTTACGTGTTACAAATAAAAGTGTTGCCTCTAAAAAGAACAACGTTTGCGACTCAGTTGAAATCACTACACATAGGCTTTCACGACCAATGTACGCGAATCGTAATTGATGTATATACAGGTTTGGTCGTTGTATAGTTTGTAATATAAATGTTGAGCTATAACTCTATATGTACGTTGAATCTCTCACACCGTACGTAGCCATCTGTGCTAATCGAAGGTGCGGGGGGGAAGGACAACAAACTAAAGATAAAAAGCAGTTCTAAAGAAAACACGTTTTCAATTTAGATGATTTAAAAGTGCAAAGCTCCCGTGGCTTCCTCATATAAAAAGGAAGAGCGCTTCTGATGGCCGCAGAAGCGTACAGTGACGATGTGGATGACGATGCCGGTGACGATGTGGACAACAAGGAGGAGGAGGCGAAGGGGAGTGGGGGGGGGCGGTGGCGGTCACTCACTTGCCTGCGGCGTACACCTCCGCTGTGTCGAACAGGTTGATGCCGTTCTCGTATGCGATGGTCATCAGCTGCTCCGCCATCTGTGGGGCGAGCAAGCGCGCGCACGGCAGGCGCGGGGAGATGAGCGCGCGCCGTCAAGATGCGAGCCCACGCGGCGGCCGTGACACTCGTCGGCTCGCGATGGCGAGGGCCCGAGTTCGATTCCAGAAGCCGGGCAACCTCTCTGCGTGGCTTCTGTGTGTTCTCTCCCTGTTCTGCAGAGTGCGAGTGTGTGCGAGCCCGTGTGAGTGTTTGAGTGAGTGTGTGTGTGAGCGAGTGGAGTTTGTAAGATCTCCCCCTGTTCTGCAGTGAGTATAGCTTGCATGTTCTCCCCCTGTTCTGCAGAGTGCGAGTGTGTGCGAGCCTGTGTGTGAGCGAGTGGAGTTTGTAAGATCTCCCCCTGTTCTGCAGTGAGTATAGCTTGCATGTTCTCCTCCTGTTCTGCAGTGTGAGTGAGTGGATCATCTAGTACTCCTCCCGCTATGGCTGTGGCTAATAAATCACGTGCTGGTCGTATCGAAGCATCAATAAAAATAAGAAATCTGTTCCCACGCGTGCAACACACACACATGCTCAAGTTCGACGACACACGCACGTGTGTGCGTGCTCCCGTCACCCACCTCCCCTCTTGTCCCCATCACACCCCTGGCCCCCCTGCACCCCCAACCCCCCCACATCCCTCCACGTGTATTTAATTTTTCAGGTGTCCCTACCTCGTCGGTGATTTGCCCTCCAAACGTCACCCACGTGCCTGTGGGGGGGGAGGCAACGTGACAACGACAACAACGAGAGTGAGATCATTGCAAGCGACGCGGCGTTGCCGTAACCGCAAGCGTGCGCCGTCAAGGCACCACCTTCAGCATCCTGACGTCCCGGGTTCTGGCCCGACGTCGTGTAGCTCATTCCCGTTAAATTTGGTTGTGGGAATTGCTCTTCCAACTTTTTTACTAAACGATTTTTTTCTTTTACCAGGTAAAGCCCGCCGAGCTGCATAGCTCTTTTTTTGAGAAGCGACCTGGCCGCAAATGATAGCGCAACGAAGTGGCTTGTCGCGAGGAAATTTATCGCAGGCAAATACTCTGAATGGGTGATGTTGATTCTAAATGTGGAGGGAAAAACCGGAAGACCCGGAGAAAAATCCACATGACCACGGGGAGAAAGACATGCAAAACTTCAAATATACAGGCGTCAGGGTCGGGGATTGAACCCACGACCTCCTGCATACCAAGCGTGGTAGTTAACAGCTCACCACCATGGCGAGTGAATTAAGAATGTCGAGTTGATTCGATTTGTTACACCGGTGATGGACCAGTTTAGCAGCCAGTTGCCCCGCTATTTTACACGGGAGATCCCTGGTGCAGCAACAAAACCAAAAGACAACAAACATCAACATTGCAAAGAACGAGCACGGATAACTGTAACAGCAGTAACTGGCGCATCCGTTAGACAGAACGCTTCCACAGGTGACAATGTCGTCCGTTTCATCGTCACGACGTGGCCCTCACCAAACGTATTTTTTCTTTTTTAAACGCTCCTCACTGCAGCTTGGGGGGGAGGGGCAAGGGGCTCGGTGTGCTCCTGGAGTTGACACCGGCACGACAGACCGACATCGTTAAACACGCCAGCAACTGCACGATGACTACGATGATGATGATGGTGGAAAGCATCTTTCAATAAATACGTCAACAGCGGTAAAACGCCGACGACTATCATCATCGCCATAATGAAAACAAACATCTTTCATGCAGGCAAAAATTGTATGGTTATGACGGTGATTTTAAAATATATCAAGCTGGAGGAACGTGAATCACGGGGCGGGTAGAACCCGGGATCGAACCCAGGCCCCTTCCCGGAGGTGCCACCACGGCTCTCGACCACCACACTCCGAAACAAAAGGCCGCCGGGGAAACACGGGCACAGAGCCCCACGAAAAGGCCGACCGGAGGACCCAAGCGTCACGCATTTTACTTCCATTCGTTGCGAAAGCAAAGCGTCGCCCGTTTAGTTATTTATCGCTCGCTATCCACGGTGTCGGCACGTGATTAAATTTTGTACAGCCCGAAGCTCCCCGCCCTTCACCCCGCCCCCCCCACGTGACCCGGGTGGCTGCGGGGGCCGAGCGCGATCGCTTCACAACAACTTCCACCTCGCCGTCCTACACCTGCGTGACCCCCCCCCCCCCCATACGCTGATATTCATTTAATTAGAAACCTTTGCGCTGCCGAGTGTCAACGCGTCTTCCAAGACTCGGTCACAGGGCTATGATAATGATGAGAACAACAATGGCTACGGCCTGTAGCCATCACAAAGCTCTGCACGTTGCAGTCCAGAAGGTCGCCTCTATCCATCCAGCAGTCAAAATTTACACGGCTGAAGACTAAAACTAGAAACAATTTCTATTTTACCTGGTAGGGCCCCACTGAGTTATATAGCTCTTTTTGTAGAAGCGACCTGGCCACAAATGATAGCTTATCACACGGAAATTTGCAGCAGCCAAATACTCTAAAACGCATTGTTGATCGTAAATGTGGGGGGGGGGGGGAACTGGAGGACCTGGAGAAAAATCCACGCAGCCACGGCGAGAGAGACGCGCAAACTCCAAATATGCAGCAGGGATCAGGGTCGGGATCGAACCCACGACCTCCTGTAGACCAGCTGAGGTAGCTAACATCTCTCCACCGTGGCACCCCGAGGTCACAGGTCACGTGAGGTGGGGTAAAGTGTGGGTACTCCCACCTCTTCTACTACGTCTGGCCAGCATGGAAGAGTAGGCCAAATACTCTCTCTAGTGGAGGCCCTTTGGCCAGCAGTGGTGCGAAGAAAGCAATTGCAGTCCTGCACCTTTACCCTACCCTAAACAATATTATGAAGACATCATCGATGCTGTCACCAATGGCATCGATGAAATTGCCGATGTCCGTAAATTTACAAGGGATACCCTCCCGATTTCTCTCTCCCACTAACCTTGTCAGCTTCAGATTTCATTCGTGGAAACGACATGAACGTTCGTCAGATGCCCTACTACTCCTCCTCCAACATGGCAATGCCAGACCGCAAAGACAAAGATCCCCCGTGTAGCCTTAACAGACTTGGGGCAAGTGCTGTTAGCGAGCACCTATGAAGGCCAGCACAGCACACGAAGGGGTGGGTGGCCAGCACCACGTTCGGGCATAACGCAACAGGTACTCATTTGAGTCTGAGTCGACCTAGGGGAGGCCCAGGACCGGTTCATATAAGCGTCACTGGTGATGGCCGTGAGCGGGAATCGCGAGGTTCATAGCGCAGCGCGCCAACTGCTGCACTACCGCTCCCCACACACACACAGACACAAAAAGACAAAGAGCCCACATATAGCTTGAACAGATTGTTGGGGCAAGTACTGTTTGCGAGCACCTACACAACAACAACCGCCATTCGCCACTAAGTGGCGGTGACGTCACCACGACGCTTGTGCCAGGCTATGTGCACCTCGAGGCCACGTGAAGTGTCAAACGCCCACTGGCAGGAGGTCACGGGGCAGACCCAGGTTCCACGGATCGACTGACTGAGATGACCGAGATGACTGGCTGATGCACCACCTGTGCCCCCTACCAGAGGTGTGGACTCGAGTCATGTGACTTGGACTCGAGTCAGACTCGAGTCATGAATTTGATGACTTCAGACTCGACTTGGACTTGCATAACAATGACTTTGTCCCACCTCTGAGGTGTGGACTCGAGTCATGTGACTTGGACTCGAGTCAGACTCGAGTCATGAATTTGATGACTTCAGACTCGACTTGGACTTGCATAACAATGACTTTGTCCCACCTCTGCCCCCTACTGTGCCAACTTGCTATGCTTTAGCCACCCGGCGCTCCGCTCGTTGTTGTGAGTGTCGCTCCTCCGCCCTCCATTGTTGTTAGAGGGCGACTGACTCCAACTGCCCAGTAGCGTCCTTCACGAGCCTCCTCCTCAAAGGCTGAACTTGACACCGCTGGTACCAATCATCGGCAAGTCCACTCAGCTCCAAGTCCTCTTTACCACATAACTCCATCTCTTCTCTAGTCCGTGCCGCGCCCGTTCAGCCCCCTCGATCCGGCCGAACAAAAGCTGTTTAGGCATGCGGTGGCTGGGCATGCGGGCTACATGGCCCAGGCAACGCAGCCTTGCCTGCCGAAGGAGCTCACCGATGGGACTTTGCCCAGATCTTTCAAGAATTTGTGAGCTCCTCACACAATCCAGCCTGGTTAAACCCAGGATGGATCGTAGGTAGGCCAGCCTAAATGTTTATAACCGGCAAAGATGCTCCATTAGGGGGGTCCACGTTTCGCAAGCGTAGAGAAGGGAGGGAATGACCGTGGCTGAGAAGACCTGAAGCTTCGTGCGGAGCGACAAACCAGGTAGCTTCCACAGCGTTACCCAACCGATGAAAAGCTATTGCCGCTCGACTGATTCGGAGTGAGACCTCTGCTGTTAAACTGGAGCCGGTTATGAGCACACTGCCCAGGTATGGGAAACTCTCCACTCTCTCCACAACTGCCCCATCACCGATTGGAGCACCTACACACACACACGTACACACAACAACAACAACCGCCATTCGCCACTAAGTGGCGGTGACGTCACCACGACGCTTGTGCCAGGCCAAGTGCACCTTGAGGCCACGTGAAGTGTCGAACGCCCGCTGGCAGGAGGTCATGGGGCAGACATACACACACGTACACACACACACACGCACGCGGAGCCTGAGACCATCAGAGGCCACGGCGCAGTCCGGCGCAGGGTGGACTCTGCCGCCACAACGTCCATCGCGCCAGGCGAGGCCTGGCACTGCCCCCACTCTCACCCGCTCGGCCCCCCACCAAGGACGGACGATCGGCGCAGGAGGCATTGCGGAGATGCCGCCGCCGTACAGAATGCTGTTTGCGGATGGCGACGAGTTTATTTTTTTTTCCCTCCCGCGGGGAAAATTCCGGCTCTGGTTCCACGGCTGGCGTGAGTGCCCGACGTGGACCCCGGCGATTTTGACGAGTGGCCAAACCGCTCGTGACGTCTCGACGACGTGCGGGTGGGGTATCGGTCGAAATCAAATAAAAAGGTTGTCGAGAAAGGCGATATAAATCGTCAGACAGACGCGTTGCTCATCTGCTGCTGTATGCCAGCCTTCTAAGCCCCACCGTCTCCCGCGCGCGGCGTGGCGTGGCACGAGCCGATCTCGTCCGCTCCGTCTCCGCGACGGTGGTCCTCCCAGGCGCGCTCCTTCCGTTGGTTGCCACTCCATCGCCAGTCTTGTCCATGGGCCGTCGTCCCCCCCCCCCCTTCCCAGTAATGGCCGCCTGCCCAAGACCATTCACTATTTTTTTTGGTTTAGTTTGTTGTTCTTCCCCCGCACCTCCGATTAGCACAGTTGGCTAGGTACGATGCCAAAAAAGTTCAACATGCATAATACCGGCTCTCAAATGTCATTTACAAATGCGTCTCTCCATGATAAAATGTAAAAATAGGAGGCATTATATTAGGCGACAAACCTTGCAATCATGCTGTCAAAATTAAATAATTCTGCGCGCGCTCGCACGTCAGCGTAACGTGGTATTTTTCGTGATGCTCTAAAAACTGAAAAATAAACATCCGTCGGGGTAAAAGGGAGTCGCAGGTCAGGGGTTCTACTCACCAAGGCCCAGGCATGACACGCGGAGGCCTGACTTTCCTAAATTCCTGCAAAGACAACGACAGGACGGGGGTTCAAGGCGAGCACAACACGAACGCTCAACGCAACACTCATGAGACCCACAACCATTTTCTGTCCGCTGCTATGCTGCGGCGCACGCCAAGGTGGTCTCGTAAACCACAGCCGTGACGACGTTACTCCGACACCGGCTGGTTTAGTGCGTTACGAGCCGCCGCCGTCACTTAATCAATCTCACCGTATAATCGTTCGTGATAATTTACATCCCTTTTTCAATACACTGCTGTGAGTAGTGCATTTGCTGGCGAAAGAGGATTCGAAAGGCCCGGGACCGGTTTAGATATCTCTCGCCACTGATACAAGCCGTGGCTGAGAATCGAACTCGGCTCGCCGGGTTCATTGCGCAGTGCGCCGCACCACTCAGCCATGGCTACCCCCCTCAACTGATTGTAAACATTAACGGCTTCGTTTGCGGAGAGATATGTTGCAACGATTAAAACTAAAAATAAATGCCCTTCGGCCACGAAATCGTCTGGGAGACCTTTGCAGAAGGGTTCTTTCATGAAATGTTTGGCCTGTGCCGTAAGTGAAGCATTTACACCCGCGGGGGCGAGGAAACCGGGGTGTACACGGAGAGAAAACCCACCATGCATACGAGGGCACAGGTCAATATCTCGAAAAGCTTTGTTGTAAGCTTGGGCTGCAAGGTGGCGGTGGGCCCACGCGTACAACAGCCAAGTCACTCGCACTCCGGTAGTCGGTCACCTCCCTTGTCACTCTTCTGTCGCTACGACCACAATTTCTGTTCCCGTGAAGTTCAACCTGACCTATTTCATCTCATCCACACTACTGCACGTCTGAACGCTACACTCACTCACCCACTCACTCACTCACTCAAAAAGACAAAGATCCCCGTATAGCCTTTATAGGCTGTTGGGGCAAGTGCTGTTAGCGAGCACCTATGAAGGCCGGAACGATACACGAGGGGGTGGGTGGCCAGCACCACGCCCGACCGCCTTTGTCTCCCCAGTGGCGATGTTTACACATCGCACCAGGTACGCATTTGAGCCCGAGTTGCCCTGGTGGAGGCAGAGGACTGATTCAGATATTCGTCACTGGTGTTGGCCGTGAGCGGGAATCGAACTCAGGTTGCTGGATTCGTAGCGTAGCGCGTTAACCCCACGCACGACCGCTCCCCACCCACCCATTCATTCACTCACCCACTCACTCACCCACTCGCCCATTCAATCACCCACCCACCCGCTCACTCATCCACTCACTCACCACACTGCAGCAGATCACAATACTTCTCGTTCCACTTCGTCCCCCGCACTGCTCCACTTTTGAATTCCCTCCCCCCATCGTCTCCTTCCCCACCCCCTCCCCAAGTTCTCAAAATAACCTGGCTCAAGTTCAAGACACGTGTTGACTATCATCATCTATTACAACTTTGAGTGCCATTTGTCGCCGACGGCTTGGCCTTTTGGGCCTTTAGCGCTCGACAACAGTGATTAATTAAATGTGCCAGACGCACGGCCTGTGAGAACAGGTTTCTGACCACTCTACCGACCATTAGAGGGCCGTTAACCCGTAACCCTGTAACCTGTTTTGAGAACTGGTTCGCGGGTTCCGATAGGCAGGAACTGGTAACCGATTCCAGTAGAACTTTAGTAGGAGAAAGCGAGCGTACCCACACTTTACCCCACCATCAGCAACCTGCTGGTCGACTGTGATGTACAGACTCGCGCGCGAGTGCTCCCTGTCATTGCCACGTTCACCTCTTACAACAATCTGGACTGCGGCGAGCGGTACCCCCACCACTTCACCCCCCAACACAAGTGACCTGCTCGTCGACCAACCGTGCCGTACCCAATTCGTCCCAGAAGATCCCTGGATTTGATCTTCCACGAAACTCATGGTCCACTCCTAAACCGCATCGACACAAACCATGGCAGATGCGGATACCTGATGCACAAATGAAAAATGTAACTCTCCAGTGCGACTGTGGTAATCCAGAACAGACCGTAGCAGCAATGACGACGCAATGGCGGGTCCACAGATACGAGTGAGAGACATCGCAGCGGTACCAACTCCGCTGCTCCTGACGCGGTTGTCTGACGCGGTTGTCTGGGCTTGACCACCTTAACGTGAAATTGTCGTCGTCGCTCTGCAATCTAACATCAGCAGCCGTACGACGAGACGAAGAAGAAGATCCCGAAACCTGCGCCGTCGTTTCGACTGCCGCGCCCCCGTGAGACGGAATCGAACCGTCAGCGAACCTCCGGATCGCAATTCCGGCGCGGATAAACAACCATGGCCGCCACGGCAAGTTCCCTGTCGTTTGTCACCGGAAAGCGAGAAAACATTGCCGCGTTTTTTTTTTTCCTGCTGTAGACATTTCCGCGTACATGTGGGAAACCCGTTTTTGCATTATTTTTTTTCCCATGAGGTTACCGGTTATGCAAACATAAAAAAGTATATATATATATAACAACACCTATACCATTCGTCCCTCAGTGTAATAGGTTTTTTTTCCAGACCAATGTCCAGCAGCGTTTACTTAACCAAGCAAAGTATTTATGAGACAGGTTTGACCTTCAGGGTCTCATCAGCAAGTCAGGCCCGAATAAACAAAACGTGGCTGCTTGCCCAGCTGGGGTCACCAAGTCGAAGCAGATTTTTAATTTTTTTTATTTAGAAATATTTCTTTTGTGCTGTTGCAGTGATTATTTCACAATCGTCGCTGGATAATTTCAACGCCGGCTCGTTTGGAGCGGACGTTTCGCCAACCCCGTTGTCCCCGGTCGTATGAGTAAGTACCGGGCGCCCCCCTCAAATGAGTAGCGTGCAACATCACACACGACGACCTTCGCACCAAAGCCCCAACCGCAATGACCGGCTTGGTGAAGTATGGTCACCCAATGTCCCGTGCAACCTGCTCGGCTCAGCTCGGCAAGGCCATCCAGCAGTGGAATGATACATCATGATTCCACCCACCGATTATTCATCATCATTATCATCATCATCATGAATAATGGGGGGTTGGGTGGCCGGGGGCCGACGGTAACTCTCTGCTGCCGTACTGCTCATGGGCAACCACTAGAGAGAGGACAGGAGCTGGTGGGCGGGGGGGGGGCTGGATGGGATACTGAACATCACGGAGAAGGAAAGTTCGTCCGTCGCAGCTTGTGAACACAGCGGAGAGTATTTCCTATCATTCAAAAATACCGCGGCGCTACGCCTGGGGCCTTTACCACAGCGGCACGCCGGTTGAGGCCACCAACTGACAGCGCTGAGAAAACGTGTCCGTCACGCGTTATTCAAGAGCTTCGGTACCGTGCGTTGCTCCGCTGCACATCTCGGCTACTGGGCCCCCAAGGTGCCCAACGACGCCCTGCGAGTTTGCCCAGCCGCCGTGGAACCGCGATTAGACGACTCGGGGTCGAGAGGAACGCCACGGGACTCTACCGCAGCGACGCGACGCCCCCGGGGGGCTCCGGGAAGCCAGCCGCGCGAAGTTTGCGCGAGCGTCGTGAATGTAGCGGGGAAGTGACCGCGGTCGTCGTAACGCTGCCTCCAGGAGACGGGCGCAACGCGGAGGCGCGCGTGGGGTCTGCGCGAGCGCGAGTCCGTTAGTTGGTGTGCGCGCACGCGTGTGTGCGTGTGTGTGCGCGTGTGTGGGGTAGGGAGACTAAGGCGGTCGGGCGTGGTGCTGGCCACCCACCCCCTCGTGTACCGTTGCGGCCTTCATAGGTGCTCGCTAACAGCACTTGCCCCTACAGTCTGTTAAGGCTATATGGGGGATCTTTGTCTTTATCTTTGTGTGGGGTAGTGTTGGGGAGCGGTAGCGTAGCGGTTAGAGCGCTGCGCTAACAACCCGGCGACCCGAGTTCGATTCCCGCTCATGGCCAACACCAGTGACGATTATTTGAATCGGTCCTAGGCCACCCCTAGGTCGAATCAGCCTTACATGAGTACCTGTTGCGGTGTGTAAACATCGCCACAAGGAAGACAAAGGCAGCCGGGCGTGATGCTGGCCACCCCACCCCCTCGTGTGCCGTGCGAGTGCGGTTAGCGGGCACCTTCATAGGTGCCCGCTAACCGCACTCGCCCCAACGGGGTGTCTTTGTTTTGTGGGGTAGTGTTGGTGTGCACGAGTTGGTTGATGCGCATGTGTGTTCCGAGTGTAGTTGCACGTTGCATGTGCGCTTGTGGCTTAGCATTCACGCGTCTATTTTGTTGCTGCCCTGCACCCTCGGTCTCATGCTCGCTCGCGCGCCGCGTGGTCGTGCGAGCGCGCCATCAGATTCATGCGAGCAATGTTCACAGCCTCCCCGCTGCCGCCGCCGGGCGTCAGTTAAAACAAAAGGCCTCGACAACAACCTCGGAGAGATCGCCGGGCTGCGTGCACGTCCCATTAATAAGTGGGGGGGGGGGGCTCAGGATCTCTCCCCCACCCCCCCCCGGCCTCGAGCGATGTCCACAGTGCAAACGCATGCCGTTAATCCGCCTCCCGCTCAAGCGCGAAACGAACTCGCCAGGGAAAAATACAGAGCCGCTTGTAATATTGGGGGATAAATCATCGGGAGACTTTCCGCCCGCACGGTCGCCCGCACACCCACGCACGGCATATCCTTTTGGGTGCCGCTCGCTACTCCTCCGCTTCTGGCTGACCAAGTGACGGAGCGATCACCACCCAATCGAGTTGCTCTCTTCACCATCGTCACCCCGGCGTGGACGAGGCGGCGCTCTTCGGCTGCTGCGTTTTTTTTTTCACGGCCGCTGGAAAACAGACCGGTGGCGTCCTGGGCTGCTCCGGTGACAGCTTCGCTGAAGCCTCGTGAAAGCGAACGGTGGGGGTGGGGAGTTTGGCGATTGTGCGGATTTTTCACCGTGGGGTACCCGCGTGGTTGAAAGGCGGTCGTTAGGAGGATGTATGGTGGAGCAGAAGGAACCGCTCAGAGAGGGCGGCCCGTGGAAAATAATTCACGGTTGCGCGTGCGCGTGGGGTGCCACGGAGGCGAGATGTTTACAACTACCTCGCCTGGTATACAAGAGGGCGTCGGTTCGATCCCGAGCCTGACACCTGTATATTTGGTGTTTTGCGTGCCTCTCTCCCCGTGGTCACTTGGATTTTATCTCCTGGTCTTCCGGTTTCTCTCTCCACATTTAAAATCAACGTGCGTTTTAAAGCATCTGGCTGCTATACATTTGCACGTGATAAGCCACTTTGTTGAGCTATCATTTGTGGCCAAGTTGCTTCTGAAAAAGTGCTACATATCTCAGTGGGCCTCATCTGTAAAAAATATATAAATATTTTAGTGTGCGCATACGTTTACTGGATGGTGTGACTTGAGACTCATCGTCAATAAACTGATATACTGCCTTAGCATTGGCAAGCTGAAAAAAGAAAAGGAAAATTCAATTATCGCGTTAACAGCCGACGCTAACGACACAAATAATGAGACCCCAGCTGTCGCAAGCCTCCCCATCATCAATACGATGAGATCATCATCGTCATCATTACCCAGAATAATGACGACAAAATAAACGATCTTCCTTCGCTGTGACACGCATGTTGTGCTATTATGAGCGACGCCTTCAAACGCAGCTGCGATGGAAAGGCGTTACGAATCCAATTGTGGCGATGCACCAGAATCAGAAAATGTATTTATACCGGAGGAATTCGATGAGCAACAAAGCTCTCTTCCCCCACAGATGTCCAGTAGGGGCACGGGGTCAAAACATTACAACAACAAACAACACAAAAACACGATAGGAGCACAAAGCATAGGATAAACAAATCACGTAATTTTTTTTTACGAAACAATTTTCTTTACCTTACCAGGTAAAGCCAACCGAGGCTATCAACTTCTTTTTTAGAAGAGACCTCGCCACAAACAATAGCTCAACAAAAAGGCGCCCAATCACGTGGAAAGTTATCGCGGGCCAAACAATCGGAGCAATCTAAATGCGATGTCGTCGCGCTGCGCTCGGCGCGTCCCCGCGGGTCGACGCGTCCGCGGAGGACGTGAAGCATTCAGGAGGTCCAAAGGGTGCGCACAGCATCGCCGTGCTCACCGAGTGGAGAGGGAGTCGACCGACGGAGAGTCGCGAGGGAGAGGGGAGCGCGCGTCAAATGGGGCGCGTTATTAACGAACCACGGAGGCGGTGTAACGAACCGGACGCGCCGCGCAGACGGCGGCAAGATATCGCGAGCGTTCATAATTAGCGGAGGCGCGCTGGACGCGGCCCAAACGCCACCCGTGTTTCAGAGGTTCGCGGTTCGACCCCGGCGGCCGCCCCGGTTAACGCCGCGGGTTGCCGGTAACCGTCATGAAAAACTTAGCGCCTTCCTTCGCGGTAACAGCCCTGGCCTGTAATAATGCGGCAAATTATATTCTTACTTAAACCATTCCAACAGTTTTTTTTTTACTACTAGGTAAGGCCCACTGAGCTGTGAGGCTCTTTTTCAGAAGCGACCGGGCCACAAATGATAGTCGCTCATCACGTGGAGATTTAAATATCACGCAGGCGTCAGGGTCGGGAATCGAAACCCACGACCTCCTGCATACCAGGCGAGGGAAATAACATCTCGCCAGCGTGGCGCGTCATTTATATTAACAACAGGTCAGAGATGGGTGAGCTCGCCTTTCCAGTGACTCGGGGAGAAAGAAAATAAACGGGAGGCACCATCGAGAGGATCGTGCGCTCACCAGCGAGGGTAAGGAACGTTGGAACGCGTCCGCACGAGTCGGAGACAGCGGCGCGTTAACGGGACGCGGAGCGGGGGCGCTAACGGGAGATCACCGTGGCGCCAGGAGCCAGCGAGGGAGCGCTCATTTCAGAGTCGGAGGCCAAGCGGGCGGAGCAGTCACAAATCAGCAAATCAGGGGCGCGACGCGGACAGACAGGCGGCGTAATAACGCGCGAGGGGGGACGTATTAAACACGCTCTGGGTGACACACAAAGACAAAGATCCCCCCCACCCCACCCCCGTAGCCTGCACAAGCTGCTTGGGGCAAGTGCTGACCGCTGTTCAGTCCAGTGCAAGGTTGGTGGAGGAGGGCATAGAAGTATGGTTCAATAATAGATGGAGCTGCACTGCTACCTGCTGCCCACCACCAGCCCCACATATGAAGACAAAGATCCCCAGTATAGCTTTAACAGACTGTTGGGGCAAGTGCTGTTAGCGAGCACCCATAGAGACCGACGTGGCGCACGAGCAGGTGGTGTGGCCAGAACCACGGGCGGCCTGCCGCCTTTGTCTCCCCAATGCCGATGTCTACACACCGCACCAGGTTCTCGTTTACAGCCGAGTCGACTTAGGGGAGTGCCCAGGACCGGTTGGAGGTATTCGTCACCGACGTCGGCCGCAGAGCGCGAATCGAACCTGGGCTCGCCGGGTTTGCAGCGTGGGTGTGCCTCGCTCCCCGCTAGCCACGACGCGGACACACGCAGGCACGAGCACGCACTCAACAAAAAAATCAAATGTAAGCATAGACGAATGGGACACACAATCTGGGGAAGGAAGAGGTGTGAGCAGTGGGGGGGGGGGAGGGGGAAGCTGGTGAGGAGGGGGTATTATTGGGGAGTGTTGCAAGGGACACGGGGTAGCAGAAGGGGCAGCTCCAGCAACGGGCACTGAACACCGCGGGGGGGGGCTCTCACATGTTGCCCACATCAATAGGTAATGCCCCCGAGGGAGTGGGGGGAGGCCTGTTGGACGCTACTCTCGATGGAAACTCTGTTACGAGTTTCCATCGAGAGTCTTAATCACGAGTTTCGCAACCCGCGCAATCACCCGTGCGACTTGGCGGGGTGCAAACAGAATCGCTCGTACCGTACGCGGTGGACGTCTCCGCGCGAGCCGGTCGCTTCACGGCGGCGACGAGGCCCGATCGACCGTGAAGCGGCGACGACGCCGCTCGGCGACTTTTGCGGCGGCGCGTTTCGTGGCCCGCGCGGACACGTTCGCCGAACCCGCGATTTTGCCGAACCCGCGATTTTGCCGAACCCGCGATTTTGCCGAACCCGCGATTTTGCCACTGCGCAATGCCCCGACCGGAACGCCGTCAACATTTCCCTCCTACGCATTTCACAAGTAGTACTAATCACATACCTGCATTTCCCATAAATATGCTAAATTCCTCTTGATATGCAAATTCATTTGTCAAGGCGCTCTTCCCCCTCCAACCCAGCTTAAATAGACGCTGTCTTCCCGACAGACCTGCTCTTCACCTGAGGACGGCAGCGTCTGAATGTCTTCCCGACAGACCTGTTCTTCACCTGAGGACGGCTACTTGCGTTGTGGCCGAAACGTCGTGATAATTATTTTATTATGTTTTATTTTTATTATTTTATTATTTCCATTCTACGTGACTTTACCGAAAGAACCAAGAAGATGAATCCCTGCAGTCGCGAAAGCTTTAAATCGAAATGTAACATTTCGCTCGTTGCGCGAACCGCTGGCTCGGACGTGGTGGCTAAGCGGTTGCGGACGACGTCCGAGTGGCGGGCGATTTTCCGAGGGCGGTTCGGTTTGCAACAGCTGGTAGGTAGCCGGCGGTGGGAGAGGACTCCGAGTGCAACTCTGCCGGCACCGGCCGAGATCCCGGGTCCCGTCCGCCCGTGGATACGCCAGGGTTCTCAAGCGGAAACTAACGCGAGTTGGTGGTCTTGGCCCGGTCACAAATGAATACGCAAAAAAAAAACGCGTTAAATGTAGTTTTTTTTTACTAAATTCCAGCTCTCAGGAGAACTACAAAAAGAAGTGTGTCCACTTCCATGCGACAAGCATATCCATCGCAGCAGCAGCAGGGCGAGTGGGAGAGAGCAGCACCCCCTAAGTGCAGATGACAAATCACTTGAAAGGGATCTCGGAAGTAGCTCTGCAATATGCACTTCCCCGAACAGTTTCTGTTAACGCACGAAGGGCGGCAACACCGCGGCGTCTCTGTGTGTGACGCGCGACGACGTCACGACCTCGCCATCAAACGCCAATTTCAGTCTGCGGCCAGGGAAATACAGCAGAGGAAGTCGACTTGTGCGCGACGGGTGACCCCCCCCCCCCCCCCCCCTTTCACCCGCGCAGCCACCGGAGGCGCTGCAAACTCAGGGCAACATAAACGTTACACGAGCCGGGAATAAAATTAGCGAGGCTGGATCGCGATAAAGTCACCGAATCGCGATGGGTGGCAAATCACTGCCCCCCACCCCACCCACTCACCCTCTCCAGGTGTCCCCCGCCCTCACCTGTACTTCATGCCCGTGTTGGCCGCCGTTGTCTCGCGCAGGGAAATCATCATCTGCTGCTGCTGCTGTTGCTGCTGCTGCAGCTGAAGCTGCAGCAGCTGCTGCTGCTGCTGCTGCTTGCGCAGGGCCATCTGGCCCACGCTCCTCGCCACAATGGCCACGGCGCGGAACCGCGAGCGCACGCGGTTGGCACCGCCGGGCCCCCCGCCGCCACCTGGGCCCCCGCCGCCCCCTCCCAGAGTCGGGCTGCCCCCGCCGCGCCCCCCACGGTCATCGCTGCCGCCGCGGGACTTGAGGCCGCTCTCCGAGCACGCGAAGGACACCTGCATGGCGAGCGCGACGACAACTCTGCGCCGTGTCGCTCTGCGCCGTGTCGCTCTGCGCCGTGTCGCGCCGCTGTGGTTTCCGGCGGCCGCGCTTCTTATCTTCTTCCTCTTGAGCCGTGGCGCTCTGTCTTGTCGGCACCGCCCGGTGTAGGGCGAGCGTTGTTTTTGAAATGTACGCGCGTGCGTGTATCGCGGAAGGACTTATCCACTGGGAGATGAAATTGAAAATCGCGCTGCTCGGTAGCCGGTCTAAGGTGGCGGTGGAAAAAAACTACAAACAGTGCCGAGCGGCACAGCTACGTGTCCATCCCATTGCGTCTCTCCGCTGCCTGAACGTTATCGGAACCCCGGCGCCAAGCGACACGCCGATGCGTTATTTATCTTTCATCAACCAAACATACGGCTACAATTGCCGAAATATCTTCTTCACAGTCATTCACGTCGATATAACGTTAACAATTTATTGCTATTAAAGCTACTCATCTAGCAAAGGTTGAAATCTGAACAAGTAAGATCTCACTGTAGTTGCGGTGGTGACGTTAAACCGCGCCAACGCCGCTGGAATGGCGGCGACAAGTTGCCAATAGTCGCAATCGTCGCAATCGTCGCAATCGTCCTCCTCCGTCGGCCTCCGCGTCGGCTGGATGATGAGCCGACCGCTTGACGATGGACGATGATCCACAGCTCAAACTCCCTTGGCAACTACAAAAACCCTCAAAAGCGCTCGGAAAAACTAAAGAGACAGCTGCACTCTTCTCATCCTCCACCCGCCACGCGACCTCCGCCGGGTGGGCGACGTTCCTCCTCCTGTTGAAGACGACGTCCCATTGGGCTCGCACCGAACTCGAGGCGAGATATCTCCCGGCGTGGTCGGGAGGGAGGGGCGGCTCTCACCGTCACGCGCCGGCTCGTCCCGTCGCCACCGGCGGTGCAAATCCCCCGGCCAAAGACCCCTGCAGCGGCGGGGGTTGGTCAACCGTAACTGCCACTCGCGCCGTGGCGTTCGGCCAAAACGGTCGTCGCCTTTGCCTGCGTCCAACCTCTCGCCCGCTCCCAGCAGGGAACGACAAAAAGTGGGAGTCGAATCCTCGAACAGCCGGGACGTCCTCCTGAACTCCGCGACTTTGATCCGAGCGCCGGTCGGAAAAGGTTGGGGGAGGGGGGGGGGCTGGTCGGTGGGGGTATTCGGTGCTGCGGTGACGCAAGTCGCGGTTGTTAAATCGCCGCTCGGGTCCACTTCACGCTCATCTCCGTGGACGTGCGATTTCTCGCTGGCTGCGCACGCGATGTCCCCCGGGGAGGCGAGCCGCGCGCTCCGCCACGATAAATTAGAAGTTTCCCCCTTGGAACGCGCACGCGCGCGGTCGATGCGGAGGGCGTGCGCGCGTTGGGCCGTGGCGAGAACGGGACGCTCCTGCCTGGCAACTCCGTGGCGATACCCGGAACGCCGGGGGTGGGTGACGGCGGGGAAAGAAAATCCTTCGCGCGCGCACCCACGCTCCTCGATTCCGTCTGAATCCTCGGGACCCTCCGAGTTAACAGGCGCCCGTCAACGCGGAGACGGGAGCAAAACAAAAATAAAGGATGGGGGTGGGGCGGAGAGAAGTAATCCGACCAAGGGGCCTCCGTGCGACGTTCCAGCCGAAGCGTTTCTTGCAGGTGCCGCTCGCTTTCCGCGCGGAGCGTGACGCCATCAAAGTTGCTCCGTCTCGTCGGTAAACAAAAGCCTCCCTTCTTCTCTGCCTCTCCTCGTCAACGTTCTGCCTCGCTATCCTTTGACGGCCGTCAATATATCCGCGACGTTACCCCCGGGAACGGCCGTCCAAGTAAGATAATTTTCCTCGAGGCTTCCCCCCGCTTCCTGCGTCGTCTTCAAAAAATGCACCCCTCGATTCCGTCGACGGGAGAGGCAATCTCCTTAAGAGACGCCGCACAGCGGGGGTACGGAGTGGCTTCCCAGAGAATCCAATTACTGTCACCTTCAGTTCATCTTTAATTCAAATTATTTCCAGATTCCTGACAACTTAAACCGCGCGCGGGGGGAGGCGGGCAAATTACGCGCGAGGGGAGCGTCTCACGGAAAAAGAAAAAAAAAACGCGACGTCAAGAACAAACTTAAACCCCTGCAGGCGGTGACGACGACGGCGACGATGATGAGAACGACCACGTGGAACAGTCAAAGCGGTCGCAGCTGCTGCTTCAGGGGAGGGTGAAGTGGGGGGTGAGGGCGGGGGAGGGGGGTGAAGGGGGGTGGGGAGGAAGAGGGTGGAATTCGGCACAAATGCAGCTCACGCTAGAAAGCGGAGTAATTCGCTAATCGGGGAATATCCGCACTCGGCGACTAATGGACGCGTCGTTCCTGCAGTTCCACGGGCTTGGCAGCGGAGCACGCACGCTAAAAGCATAAATACGTAAATAAATTCAACAAAAAAACACTATCGGAGGTAGTTTAAAAATACATGAAATTTACAGAATAAAAACGTGTGTATGTCGCGTTACCGGCTTGTTTTTTTTTTAGGCCGCCGAGTATTCCGCGCTATAACGGCGTCGGGTGCGAAATGAGCCCGGCAAATCGACGACGACGACGACAACGTAGCGGGCGAAGAAAAAGAAAAACGAGAAAAAAAGAAAAGGCGGCGGTGGGGCGCCGGCGCGCGGCCACCGAGAGGAACGCAACGCGAGTGAGCGGGCGAGTCGCTCGAGCAGGAGGGAGCGGGCAAGTGGGGGAGGAGTGGAGGGGCAATGATGGACGCAGAGACGCACGATCGCTCGCCCTGACCGCCCCCGCCCGCTCGCCCAACTGACCGCCCGCCCGAACCTCGCTGCCCCCCCCCCGCCCCCCGAACCCCCCCCCCCGAACCCCCCCCCCCCCCCCCCCCGCCACCGCCCGCCAACCGTGACCCCATCGCCCACCACAGCCGACTAAATTTAAAAGAGAATTCTCACTCGGAGGGCCTTCCTTAATCAGTCACCGCCACCCGTCACCTGACCCCACTGACAGCTGCACGCACGTACACGCAGGCACACACACACGCACACACACGCACACACACACGCACACACACACACACGCACACACACACACACGCACGCACACGCAGGCACACACACACACCCTCACATGCAGGCAGTGCATGCACATCGGGGGCAACACAAACACCGCGCAATGCCGCGCCACCCGCGCCCGCCGCTCGGCCAGCCGCGCCGTGACATTTCAAGCACACGCGGCCGCGCCGTGGGGTGCCGTGCCGCACCACGGTGGCACGCGGGGCCACAGCGCGGGTAACGCGAGCCGGTTTAACCGAGCGGCCCCGGCGTGCCGCACCGCGGAGCCAAGCCGCGACACAACACACGCGACGCCACAACACACACCACGTCACACCACCACACACACCATGTCACACCACGTCACACCACAACACACACCACGCTACAACACACACCATGTCACACCACAACACACACCACGTCACACCACAACACACGCCACGCCACAACACACACCATGTCACACCACCACACACACCATGTCACACCACGTCACACCACAACACACACCACGCTACAACACACACCATGTCACACCACAACACACACCACGTCACACCACAACACACGCCACGCCACAACACACACCATGTCACACCACCACACACACCATGTCACACCACGTCACACCACAACACACACCACGCTACAACACACACCATGTCACACCACAACACACACCACGTCACACCACAACACACGCCACGCCACAACACACACCATGTCGTACCTAGACACACGCCACAACACACACCATGTCACACCACGACACACGCCACGCCACAACACACACCATGTCACACCACCACACACACCATGTCACACCACGTCACACCACAACACACACCACGCTACAACACACACCATGTCACACCACACACACGCCACGCCACAACACACACCATGTCACACCACCACACACGCCACGTCACACCACGTCACACCACAACACACACCACGCCACAACACACACCATGTCACACCACAACACACACCACGTCACACCACAACACACACCACGCTACAACACACACCATGTCACACCACCACACACGCCACGTCACACCACGTCACACCACAACACACACCACGCCACAACACACACCACGCTACAACACACACCATGTCACACCACACACACGCCACGTCACACCACGTCACACCACAACACACGCCACGCCACAACACACACCATGTCACACCACCACACACACCATGTCACACCACGTCACACCACAACACACGCCACGCCACAACACACACCATGTCACACCACCACACACACCATGTCACACCACGTCACACCACAACACACACCACGCCACAACACACACCATGTCACACCTCCACACACACCATGTCACACCACGTCACACCTCCACACACACCATGTCACACCACGTCACACCACAACACACACCACGCTACAACACACACCATGTCACACCACACACACGCCACGTCACACCACAACACACACCACGCCACAACACACACCATGTCACACACCACGTCACACCACAACACACACCATGCCACAACACACACCATGTCACACACCACGTCACACCACAACACACACCACGCCACAACACACACCATGTCACACACCACGTCACACCACAACACACACCACGCCACAACACACACCATGTCACACATTATGTCACACCACACACACGCCACGCCACAACACACACCATGTCACACCACCACACACGCCACGTCACACCACGTCACACCACAACACACACCACGCTACAACACACACCATGTCACACCACAACACACACCATGTCACGACACGCCACGCCACAACACACACCATGTCGTACCTAGACACACGCCACAACACACACCATGTCACACCACGACACACACCACGTCACACCACAACACACGCCACGCCACAACACACACCATGTCGTACCTAGACACACGCCACAACACACACCATGTCACACCACGACACACGCCACGCCACAACACACACCACGTCACACCACAACACACGCCACGCCACAACACACACCATGTCGTACCTAGACACACGCCACACACACGCCACGCCACAACACACACCATGTCACACCACCACACACGCCACGTCACACCACGTCACACCACAACACACACCACGCTACAACACACACCATGTCACACCACAACACACACCATGTCACACCACGACACGCCACGCCACAACACACACCATGTCGTACCTAGACACACGCCACAACACACACCATGTCACACCACGACACACGCCACGCCACAACACACACCACGTCACACCACAACACACGCCACAACACACACCATGTCACACCACGACATGAGCACGCCACACCACGACATTAGGGGGCCGCACCGTGATAAAACATTTATTTTCACCTACGTGACTTTACCGAAAAAACCTAAGAGTATGAATCCTTGCAATCACGAAAGCTTCAAATCTAGAAAAAATACACAACGCCCGTGGCACAAACACCCCTCGCATGTCCTCTACAGTGAACCACTCCTTCAACAGAGGAGGAGGAACAGCGACACGACACGAACTCCCTCTCTGCCGAAGCCCTCTCGTCGTAGCCAGCAGCAGCAGCAGCATGACCTCGACATTGGCAATCGGCTCCCGAACGCATTGCTGCTTCCATCACGCAGGAGTGGAACTACGCCGTGCGGCATTAACACGACGCAACCGCGACACGGCAAGGTGCTGGTGAACTCCACGTCGTGACGAACAAAACAGACGGACAAACGCGCCGAGCTGCGGTGGCCTGGTGCGACGCCGCACAGCGACGCTCTTGGTTAGGCAACGCGGCGGATGGCGGCTCGGGACCAAAGACAAACATTCCCCGTAAAACCTTAACGGGCTGTTGGGGCAAGTGCTGTTAGCGAGCACCTATGAAGGCCGGCACGGCACACGAGGGGGTGGGTGACCAGCACCACGCCCGGCCGCCTTTGTCTCCCCAGTGGCGACGCTTTTACACACCGCACCAGGAGTCCATCTAACGGAGGCCCAGGACCGGTTCAGATAATTGTCACCGTGCGTGGGAATTTAACTCGGGTCGTCAGGTCCGTAGCGCGGCACGCTAACCGCTACTACACTACCGATCGGGACCGCACGCGGTGCCACCTTCAGCGGTGCCACCTACAGCGATGCCACCTGCAGCCGCACCGAAGAGCCGGCGCGTGACCAGGCGGGCGAGGAGGCCCCAGTCGCCGGAGCCACGCAGCAAAACATTGTCGAGGGAAATCGGTTGTCCCTGCCGCCCCCCCAAACCACCCTACCACCACCACTCCCTCTCACCCCAAATGTGAAAAGCCGAGAAATAACACTGGCAAAACGATATTTCTTTCGGCGAGAATAAAAGGATCACTTCGATTTTGTCCGCGACTGCGGAAAGCGGAACGAGGCGCCGCTCGCTTGCGGGTCTCCGGGAAGACTCCGCGGCCGGTTCCACAAGCGACCCGAGAGCTCGCGCCCGTCCAACCGCCCCAAATCAGCTCAATTTCTACACATTTAGAAAACGCGGCTCATTTAGCGAGGGCAACGCTGGTGGGGTTTTGGCACATGCGCGAAACTGGACACACCGTCGCCGCCACCCGTCCCAGCGCGGGATACGTAACCGACTAAACAATTATTTTATTTGACCAGGTAAGGCCCACTGAGCTGTACAGCTCTTCTTCAGAAGCGCCCTGGCTATCACAAATGATAGCTCAACGAAGTGGCTTATCACCACGTGGAACTGCATAGCAGCCAAATACTCTAAAAACGCGTGAAGTCGATCCTAAATGTGGAGGGAAAAACCGGAGGGTCCGGAGAAAAATCCACACGACCACGGGGAGAGAGAGAGAGACATGGAAACTCCAAATAATAATCAGGCGTCGGGGGTTGGAATCGCCCCATTGCAGCCGCTTGTTCCGGGTCCCCAAGAGAAGCACCCGAACGAGCTGGCGCACGAGACAAACCGGGGGCGGGCTGCTAGTGCCGCGCTCAAGCGTTGGAGGTGTCAAAGCGGTTGGAGATCCATCGTGTGTTGTTTAAATATAAAATGTTACTACTATTATATATATAAATACACGAAAGCCTCGGTGCATCTAAAGATA